CGCGGTGATATGCAGTAGTCGTGAAATATACTTTTCACTAGTGTTTTTCATATCACTAGGGCGAAACTTCATTGTTGTTATCAATGGAGTTTCCACGAAACCCATGATATGAAAAACACTAGTGAAAGACATATTTCACATTCCACTCCGCGAAAAACGTATGTGAGTAGTGAATATAACGTGAAATCTTTCACGGCCGATTTATCCCATGCAATTTGAAAAGTGTGTTTTCAATTCACTTCATATCGAGGTTTATAACAACACTCCACGTCAAACGGGTAAAACTAAAAACTTTCCCATAAAATTCAGTCGGACTCGCTTAAGGACGATCTACCTTTTACGCTCTCTTACTACGTATATCTCAAAAACCCACATTTTCCTTTGCGATTTAGGAAACGAATTTGATATTTTGTTGATTATGTTAGTGGTTTGGAGCTCCCCTAGCGAGCGTAGACTCAGTATCACCAAGTATAAGACTTTGAGAATGGTAGAGGAAAATGTGATCTAAACTCTCCATTCTACTCCCAGGCTACAGCTAGCTCAGCCCGGATCTACCGCGCTAAGTCTTGGTGTACTGTTTTCCCAGGGACTCTGTCCCTCTACACTATATATATCTCAACCATTATAAATACCCGATGCAGCGGTGTGAACCTCACACTACTCCTACGTGTTGAGATATATATATTCGCTCTCCTCAGCAGAGCTTAAGAAGTTCCTCACTAATTATACAAGTTAATTAACGAATTGGGGTAGAAGTGTACAGTAAGCAACGAAAATTTCCCGAAATTTCCCAAAAAATTTTCATATTGTAACCAACACATGTGCGTTGGTCTCCATCGACCACACCTCTTTCTAAAGTTCATATTCCACCTTGGCATAACACGAGTTTTTTTAGGTTCTTTATTCTTGAGATTTCACTCATACCATCCATCGCGATTCGATATTCTACAAACTCGATCAAATACATAAAAGTATTTACTGACTCCAGCAGAAATAAATCGTAAAATTTTTCGGGAAAATTTTTCGGAAAACTTACTTGTTCCAAACGGTAAGGTCGCATACTCACCACCAAGTTTCCACCGAATGGCCCCGCGGTCTAAAATCACCACATCCAAATCGATCACGTGATCGATTATGTATAGCTCACCTTATTGGGTATATTAGTCCGATACATAGAAACATTCTTGCCTTGAACCATATGTCTCGGTGGAACCCCTACCTCACGAAAACATTCACATGGTCAACTACATGTGTTGATGACAATTCTGAAAATTCTGGGAATTTCTTATTGGTCTCCGTTTCCCGAGCTCCCCTGATTCCGTACGAAAATGGTAAACAATAATCGCTTCGCTCCGCCCTCCCTAGATGACTCACCTGCTTCAGCGAGCTTATCCTCCCATGAAAAGCTGCATCCAAATACGAAACCAGTGAGAGCTTCCACGTTCTTGGGGACACTCCTGTCGGCTCGTAAAACTTCAACTTTACCACTGTTGTCATAAACAGTATATTTCGATGCATCTGGACACAACTACTACTACTACTACTACTACTACTACTACTACTACTACTACTACAAGTTCTGTGTAGTATTCCTGGTAAATTCGAGCCGCTGAAAAGCTCATTATAGTTCTATTATTACGAGAAAAAAATATTCGAAAATTATAAAAAGTTCTCACAAATTTTTTTATTAATAACGTGTTGATAAAACTGCATTCCAATGCATATATGAGATGACCAAATTCATTATTCGAAATTAAATATATTTCAATTCCTCGTTGTGCCAGTGTTAGAAAAATATATTTTCGCTTTCCTTAAAAAAAATTCCCTCGCTAATTGCGGAGCGAGCGAAGCATATACCGCAACAACAAGCACTTTCGCGTTGTGCGTGCGTGCAGAATTATTCTGGCTTAACTACGAAGCGTGGGAGGCTATCAGATAGATCAAACGTCACCCCTATATGAGGATGTGTTGGGAAAAATCGGAAAACTCGAATATGCGAAGAACTCGAAGAGATATGCACGAAAAACTTCAATGACGGAGACATGTCCTACCCGGGTATCGAACCGGGCTGGACCTATCTAAAATTCATTGATTGAGTCCATGGACGTGGACTCAGTGAGCTCCGCCCCTTCGTCACGAAGGCCTACTTAAGGTAGAAGTGTCCAAAAACCAATGAAAATTTCCTCACAAGTTTCATATTGCCATCAACACATGTAGTAGACAATGCGCATATTTTCCCATACCTCTCCTCTTTAAAATCATCATCTCACCTGTGAGTAGATCAGCTCCCGGTGCCACTATTTTTGATATCAACCGCAATTGACGATTTCCATCACCATCGATAGTAAATGTCGATTCAACCATTTCCAGCAGAGGACACGATTGGAAATTCAGAGCGCAAAACCGCTCGAAATCGTCCTTGTGTTTCGACGGTAGAATCACCAAATTAGCCTGGGAAAATGGAGAATCAAAAATTCGTTGAAATTACCAATTTTAATCGGTGTGTTTCGGATGTGATAACAAATATAACAGGGGAATTTCACAACTCGTTTTACGTGAAGTGGCGTCGTAATACTCGGTGAAAAACGCGATATTCGCGGTGATATGCAGTAGTCGGTGAAACATGTTTTTCATATCACTAGGGCCGCCCGTAAAACTCCAGTGTTGGAAGAATATATGTTTGCTTTCCTCAGCTCCGGAATTTTAAATTCAGACACTCATCACTGTGCCAATGGCATACTTTAGATTTTCCTAAAAGTCGTGAAAAATTTCCAGAAAAATATTTTTTTTCAGTTCTAATACGACAAAGCTCATCACTCTTGCTATACCAAAACTAATGTAAATCTTTTACATCAAATCAATTTTCGCTCACCTGAACATG